AGCCAGAAGGGAGGAGAGGCTCCGGGGCGCCTCGCAACCTTCCTGACACCCCGCCCTTCCCTCTGGGGCCTGTGAGGACGGTAACTGTCTCATCTGGTCAGAGGAGCTGAGGCCAGGCATCCGCAACAGGCTCAGGATGGGAGGAAAGCAAGGTGGGAGCGCTCCAAGGAGAGGGAAGCCCTGGGCCCCGCTGAGGGGCCCCCGCTGGGCCCAGCTCTCTGCCCGGCCCTGGCACCCTGCCCACCTCTTTGGAAGTGATGCTCTCCAGGTCACTGGTGTCCAGCACCTCCCACAGCTCGGCCCGGATCGCCTGCTCCATCTGCTCCTGTTCTGAGGGCCTGGGAGCCGAGCCGAGTCTGTCAGTCCAGGGCCCCCTTCCCTGCCTGCCATGGCACCCACCCCGCTCTTCCTCCCCTCCGTGCACTGACCGGCCAGGCTCAGCGCTGGGAGGCCGCAGAGATTCCAGGTCAGCCATGGCCGTCCACTCGTTGAGGCAGCTCTGATCAGAGCTCAGTCTGTCCTGGTAGTGGCTGGCCCAGGTAAGGGCACTGCCCCCTGGCACAAGACCGCTGCCCAGAGCCACCTCACACGCCTGGTGCAATACCTGGAGTGTGGCCCTGGGACAGAGGGAAGGCTGGGTCATGTTGTCCTCCCTGCTGCCCCTCCCAGACCCTGCAGCCATCTCCGAGAAGAGGAGACTGGCCTGAGCTGGGCACCCTAGCCCTTACCACATGGTCTGGATGGAGATGGGCTTGAAGATTCGGCTCTGCCCGCCAGATGTCACACTGAAGCCCCTGCAGGAGACCGGGTAGGGGTGGAACCTGACTCTCGGCTCTGGGACAGAGCCCTGAGAGGCCCAGCCACCAGCCACCCTAGGAGGCTGGCCCTCAGAATATGTACACACCATCTGAGTTTCAACATAAGCCCCGTTTGCCAGATATGGGGCAGGTGAGACCCAGAGAAGTTAGTTGACTTGCCCAGGATCACACAGCAAATCTGAGGTAAAGCTGAGTAGGCCCAGGCCGAGACACCCGGCCTGGAGTTCTTTACTGCTCCTCAATGCCCAAATGCCCCATCAGATACAATTCCTTGGTTATTCCCTCTCCAGGCCCCTCCTGTCCCCTCCCCACTCCAGTTGCCACCTCTTACCCATCTCCATCTAGGTACACCTGGGTGTCACTCCAGAGAGGCAAGACCAGGCCCAGGGTGCAGCTGGGGGAGCTGGCAGGGGACAGAGGGAAAGCCATTGACCCCCAGCCCCTGACTTCCTTGCCCCCCTCCCTTCTTCTCCCTGCTCCCACCTGCTGTCAGGGAAGTCGACTCCCAGGAGGACTGTCTCATCCTGGCTCAGGGGTTCTCTTGTGGAAACCACCAGCAGGTAGCGGAGCCGGGGGGGCCGTGCTGCCTCCAGCTGGGCTGCCTGAGGAAGATGGGGAGGGACGAGCCCAGGGTCACAGTGGCCCAGAGGCCCCTGCTCCCCCATCCCCACCTCACACACACCCGGGCCTGGAACAGACTGCCGCCTGCTCCCTCTGTGCCCATCCCCCTCTTCCCAGATACCAGATCACTGGTTACAACCCAGTGGTTCCCAACTATTGGATTTTGTGGTCCAACAAAATGTTTAAAAATTTTTCCTAAAGGAGGATGTGTATGGAAAAAAGGAGAGAGTGGGCCTGACGTAGATTGTCCATTTTTTATTTCTGCCTAGGAAGGAGGTTTCAAAAAGCCTTTCACTTGCCATTACCACCATTTGATTCGAGAATTGTTTCTCACCAAAGAAATATTAAGGACACAACCTCACAATAAAGCACGGTGCTTCCGTGGAATAAATTCGGCTTTACGACAGACTGCCTGCATCTTGTTTTTCCCATTTCGCTGTGGACAGTGAGATGTCCCACAGGCAACTGGGAAGTGATCCCCCGACTGCCACCCATGTCCCATCCCCCCACAGGCCCCTCCAGCACGCCAGCCCCTGGTGGGGGCTCAGCAGGCCCCCCGAACGCCAGTCCATTTATGGACAACTCATATCTCAGGAAGGTCTCGCGCTGGTTGCACAGAAGCCCGCGTCTGTGTAATTCCCAGCTCTGGGACCTAGACCTAATTTGGCCCTATGGGCTCAAGCAGGACAAACCTCCCAGTCCTTTCCCAGCCCTCCGGAGACCTGAAGACATGACATCACCGTGTTAAAACAACTCTGGCTGAAACAGCAGGGTTGTCGGGGTTTGGGTAACCCTGCACTCCCCAGGGTGCCCCCTGCCCTCACACCACGGCTCCCCAGACAGACAACTGGCTGCATTTGGCCCTCTCCTCGCCCTACCCCTGGGGTGGAGGCCCCTCACCAGGCGGATGTCGTCCTGCGGCCTCAGCAGCTCCACCATGAGGTGCAGGTGCTGACTCTGCTCCTGCTTCCGGGGACTCTGGGGCCCAGGCCCATCGTCTGTCTCATCCCTGCAGGGCTGCTCTTCGCCCGGGGGCTCCTCCGCTGGCTCCGGGCTGGCCTCAGCTGCATCTTCACCATCCCCGCCATCCTGCAGTCCCAGGACAGCCCCGCGGAGCACTGCAAAGCTCTGCCTGGCAGGGCGGCAGGGAAACCATATGGCCGGTCATGCCCCTTAGGACAGGGCTGTGTCAGAATCAGCTGGCGGACTTCTTAACACAGGCATTGGGCCCCATCCCCAGAGAGTCAGCAGGCCTGCAGTGGAGGCCTGAGAACGTGCATTTCTAGCTAGCTCCTAGGAGATGCTGCCACACTTTCAGACCCACACCTTGGAGACGCTCACTGAAGCCCCCAGCCCATCCATTCTTTCCTGAGGGGGCGGAGGCTGTCCCCTTTCCCTTCCCACCTGCCCACCTCAGGAGATGCTGCAAACTTGGTGGGGACCCAGGAGTCCTCAGGCCCTGTTGTCCCATCCTGCCCTTTGGCTTGTGACCACTGGCCTGGGCCAGGGTCCAGGATAGTGGGTGAAGGAGCCCCAACTGACCAGCGGGAAGACAAAACAAAGGCAGCCAGACCAGTGCTGCAAGCTGGCCGTGCCCACCAGCTATGCCCACGGGCGACACTGCCCCACACAGTCAGTAGGTGGCTTTGTCGAGTCCTCCAGGATAGCAGGGGCCAGGCCTGGCAGCTGGATGGGGGTGTCTGTGTTGGGGGAGGCGCTCACCTTCGCTGGAGCCGGCTTCTCCTCTTGGCCCTCTGGTCCTGCTGAGAAAGCAGCCCCCAGGGCAGAGTGAGGGGGTAAGGACTCCTCTCCCCTCCCCGCTCTCAGGGCTGGGGAAGTGGGGGAGTGTGGGAATCGCCCTCCAGTGGGGAGTGGAACCAGAAAAGGTATCAGATCCCCTCCCACCCCTAGTCCACTCCCCATCTGGAGATCCTTGGGGAGCCCAGGCCCAGGTCCAGGTAGGGCAGCAGGGGTAAGGGTGGGAGGGGTGCTGGAGGTGTCTGGGTAGGCCCAGCTCCGGCTGGCTGGGAAGTGGGTAGGGCCTCCGCAGGCTGGGCTGGCGCTCAGGGCTCTGGATCTAACTTGGTCTGAGTTCCTGGGAGCTTCCAGAGCCCCCTCAATCCCCTCCAGCCTGAGACTTGGGGTCCCCCTGCGCACACCCCCAGGCTTGAAGGGAGCCTGTCCCTGGGCAGGACCCACTTCCCCAGGCCCAGCTAGCAGCCAACTGCGTGGGCAGGACCACAGCAAAGCCAGACTCACCGTGGGCCCCACAGGCGTGGAGTGGCCGCTGACCGGCGGCGAGCGGCTCACTGTGACCAGGGCCATGGGGCCAGGCCGGGGACACCTGGGCCAGCACCGGGCACGGGGTCCTCCCACAGCCCCACGGACAGTGGCTGCCCCGCAGGACCAGGAAGGAGAGACCGAGCCACTAGGGCCTGGCACCTCCTCGGGGGTGGCCCTTAAAGGGCCAGACACCCGAGCAGCCCGGCCTGCGGAGCCGGCACCGAGCGGCTGCCGCCCCTCCCCTCGCGTCTCCTCCGGTTCGGCCCGCCTCGCCCGCGCCCCGCAAACACGCTGGGGGCGGGGGCGGGGCCGGGGCGGGGCGCGGCGCAGGTGCGGAGTCCGGCGGCCCTGAGGGCCGTGGCCAGAGGTCAGGCAGCTTGCCTTCATCGCGGGGTTCGATCCCTCCTCTCAGGAAGCGCCCCTGCCCCTGCCCCTGCCCCTGCCCTCGCTGCTCCGCCCAGTTAGGTCACCTGAGCTCTGCTTTGGGCCTCAACCGTTCTGTTACCCAGCAGAGTTGGGACCTAGGGACGCAGGACTGGAGAGACAGGTCTTGGGGAAGATCAGACAATCGGGCCTTAATGGGGGGGGGCACCCCAAACGTCTTTCTCCTTGCCGGTTGGCCCTCAGCTTCCATGCTCTGCATGAATCACTGGGAGACCGGCAAAGCTTCAGGAAAATCAGGAGGGATTTAGAACTAACCCATGAGGCTCCCAGGGGATCCTCAGGGCCACCGCCTTGGAGGTGAGCAGGGCAGGGCTGTGCAGTTCAGAGTTGCTGCCAAGGGAAGTGACTTGCCCAAAGTCACTCTGATACCCGAGAACACGCCCAAGGAACCTAGGTCCAGGGTGCAAGGGGCTCTGGCTGTAAGTAGATCTGGAGGCTCAGCCTTTCCCCATCCGCGACAGGAGCGCGGAGGGGTTCTGGGAAAGCCAGCCTGGGGGGCAGGAGGAACGATGGTCTCTAGGAGGTGGGACAGGGCTCCGGAGCACTGACGTCTAGGGAACACCTGCTCTGTGAGGGCCCTTCACACCTCAACCGTCCCAACAACCCTGGGGGACGGGGGTGTAATTTTACAGCTGACCAAACTGAGGCTCAGAGAGGCTAAGGGGGCCATGGCCAGGATTCGAACCCAGGTCTGAGGCCATCATCCACAGTCTCCCCTCAGTGCCCACCTTGGGACCTAGGGACGCAGGACTGGACAGACAGGTTTTGGGGAAGATCAGACAATCGGGCCTTAATGGGGGGGGCACCTTACTACCCCCATTGAGCAGAGCAAGCCTGCTGCTGAAGGTCTCTTTATTTCCATCTTGGTCTCCAACGCAAGCCCACCCCCAGGGCTCCAGGCCCCCAGCGCAGCAGCAGACAGTTTATAAATAAATAAGTTACAAAAGCGGGCGGGGGTGCAGCCGGACAGCCCTCCCGGGCCGGGCCTCGGGGCTCAGTGCTCCGTGAGTGACAGCTGCAGGATGCGCTGTAAGTCCTCCTCCTCCTGCTGCCCCCGTCGCTCCCGCTCCTCCTGCTCCCGTGAGGACAACTCCAGGGCCAGGCGAAGCTGCTCCTCAAAACTGGGGGGGGCCAGGGCCGGGGGCGTCCTATGCGGGGATCCCGGGCCCCGGGGCTCGGTGGACATCCGCAGGCTTTCCTGGAGGGCCCTTCCAGGCAAGGTGTGAGAGGGGAGAGCAGACCAGTGAGCACTAAGGCCAGGGGAGGAGGCCAAGGGCTGGCACATGGTTAGAGGACAAGGACAACGACAGGGTGGCTGGGACCTGGGAGACCAGAGAGGAGAGACAAGGCGGGGCCCTGTGTCCCCATCCCTCATGACACCTCAGTGGGGGCAGTGCAGCTGATGGGTAGCCTTGGAGAGGGCATGGGGTCCTGGGACCAGCACCTCCCTGCACCCCACCAGCCAAGGACCCCTGACTGGCAGGGTCGCTGAGGCAGGGCGGGCCCGAGACCTGGACCGTGAGGTCCTAGGGGGCCTCACCGCTCCAGCTGAAGCTGCTCCTCATAAGCCGTGACGTGGGGAGGAGGGTGGGCACCGGGCCCGGTGGTGGTCAGGGCTTCCCAGACAGTCACCTGCAGTAGCCGGAGCACAGAGCTGTTGCCTCTGCCACCTGTGGCTGCAGAGGCCAGGGCCCGGCCCTGCCCGCGCCCCACCTGCTCCGCCTCCGCGCCCGCCTCGAGCAGGCTCTGCTGGATGGCAAACTGCAGCAGGTCATCGTCCTCGTCGCGGAGGGGCTCACTGCGCTCCGCGCCCAGCACACTGTACCCTTCGGGCACCTCGAACACGGCGGGGTCCACCTCGCACGGGAAAGGGCTCCCTGGGTGCGACGGAGGCGCCCCACTCAGCCCCCACTGCTCGGAGACCAGCGAGCCGCACGGCCCCCCTCCCTCCTGCAGTGGTACCTGAAGCTGTGACAGCCGAGCCAGGGGCCGGCACCCACACTGAGCTCAGGGGCTCGTCACAGCCACACAGGTTGCTGAAGGTGATGCGGGCGTTGAGCACGTGGAAAAGGGGGATCTCTGTGAGGAGACAGCCAACCCTGAGCTGGAGCCCATATCTACGTGACTCTCCAGGAACTGCCCGAGGCCCTCCTGCTGCCTCGGCCCCAGCTCTCACCAATCTTGACCGGGAAGCCAGGTGGGAGGCGCAGGGTGATGAAGTCTCGCAGCTTGGCAAAGTGAGCGTTGCTGATGGCCATCAGGTCGATGATGGGCGTCACCTGGTCACCCAGGGAGAGCGGGTGCTCCTCACTCAGCCACAATGTTGCCTTGAACCTGCCCAGCCGACCGCAGGACGCCGGTCAAGGAACCTCTGCTGGCTCCTCTGCTAAGGCCCACCCACGCTGGATGCCCGCCTTTACTCATGCCCCGACCTGGCCTGGGGCACCTGCCTGCCTCCTCCAGCAGCTTGTATCCTTCTGGGCGTATGGCCCGAGCTGCCCCCCAGACCCTGGGCCCACGCTGGGGCCTATGGTGGTTTGCACCAGCTCAGCTCATCTGGATGAGAAGGGCAGGGCCGGGCTGCTGGCTTCGGTCTGGGCCCTGTCCACAATCCCTCCTCCTCCTCAGCCCACGGCCAGCCAGAGCCTCACGCTTTGCTATGCTTTTGTGCTCAGCAGAGCCCAGGGGTCCGGACTGCCAGGGTTTGAATCCCAGCTCCACCCTCGGGTGGCTGAGAGTCTCCATGAGGTCCCTGAGGTGGTGCTGGGCTCAGCATCAGCTGTCACAGCTCCTCAGATGCTCATGGCGCCCGTGGGAGCAGGCGGCCAAGTGTGACTGTTCTCATTTTACTGAGGAGACTAGACTCTCAGAGCAGAAGGCATTTCCTCGGGTCACAAAGCCAGGAGGTGGCAGAGCTGTGTGCCCTTCCCACTCTGCCATAAGCTGGCTCCCAACGGGTGCTCATTAAATTGAAGAGAAAACCATGCATGGGTGGTGCTGCCAATTCATTCACCAAGGAAGAGGACCAGTCCTCGGGCCAAGCCTGAGCTTGCCAGGTGCCAAGGACCAAGGGATAAGACAGACCCGGCTCCTGCCCCCAAGGGGTGGAGTCTAGGAAGAAGCTGGCTGGGTGAGTGGGTCCCTGACTCCGGTGGGCCCCGTGACAGGAGTCTGCAAGGGCTCAGGGGGACCCTGAAGGAAGTCCCCAGCCAATCCCTAGACATCACCTCTGTACTTTGCTGGACATCTCGATGGGGCGGCCAATGTTCCTCGACTCCAGGCTGAAGTTGGGGTCGAAGTACTCGTCGGGGGAGATGGCTGTGGGGTTGGTGGGGCTGGCTGCCTGCTGCACAGGAGCCTGGGTGGGCCCCAGGACAGGGCTTAGCAGGACGGTGCCTGCCCGGCCCAGCCCCCAGCCCCCACCCCCAGCGCTGGCTCACCCCGTTGTGGGAGGAGTGCTGCTGGGCCATCCCGAGGAACGACTGGAACGGAGTCTTCCCCCCTAAGGAGGAGTGGGAGCCCATGAGGGGACTTGGGCCACTGCTCTCAGACTGTACCCACCCACCCTCCATCATGGGAGCCTCCTGTCAGGCGGGAGATGGAGACAGGGCAGATGAGAATGTAGAGGCCTCCCAGCTTGTCCCGATATGCCGGCCCCCCTAGACCAGGGTGACCCCACCACGCGGTGTGACTGGGCAGCAGGCAGGCGCACCTGGGTTTACCTTTGCTCCTCGACTTGTCCTGATCAGAGAGGTGCTCCGTGCGTGTGCGTGTCACCAGCTCCACGTTGGTGGCACTGTACACCTAGGGAGTAGGGGGGACACAGGGGAAGCTGGGGGCTCAGAGCCTGTTCCCCACACTCAGCCTCATCAGCACAGGACCCAAGTTCTCCTGTCCGCAGGGACAGATGAGATCTCACTCCCCACAGTGGAGGAGGGGGCGGGGTCTGAACCCCAGGGAGTCACTACTGGGGGGAAAATGCTCCTCCTTTCATCTTGGAACCCCGGGTGGGGGCCCATGCTGTGGGTGATCCCTGCATGCTCACCCAGGGCCCCACTGAGTCCCCATGGCCGCGCAGGGCTTCCAGAGCCCACGGGCCACTGTCTCTCCCTCCACATGGGTGGATGTGGAGAAGCACAGGGTTCCTGGGCCTCGTCTCCTACCCCAGCCCCCACCACTAGCCTCTCCTGCCTTGGCCTCGTAGCCGCTAACGGTTTCCATCTTCTCAGACCGCCAGCCCCAGATACCACATTTGTTCCTGAAACAGACCAAACAGGAGCTTGTGAGGACCCACACCCCCCAGCCCTGGCCAGAGCCTCCCCTTCCAAAGACCGCTCCCCCCAAGCAGCCCTTCCACCGTGAAACGGGCAGGGCCTTGAAGAGGATGCCTGCACACCTGGGGGCAACTGAACAAGGGCTGCAGGCTGGAAGGCGCTGAGGGATTATCACTAATTTTGTTAGATGTGATAACGGTGGTGGGGCTGGCTGTTGTGAAACATCCTTATCTGTCAGAGTCACGTGCAGAAGCGTTTACTGCTGAAATGATATGACGTCTGGGATGTGCTTTCAGACAGTCCAGGGAAAAAGGAGAAAAAAAAAAGTGATAAATGTTGAAGCTGGGTGATGAGCACGTTAGACGATTCTCTCTTCTTTCATATGTTTAAAATTGTCCATAATAAAAAGTTAAAAGTATGTCTGATTCAACAATAATAGTTGGGGACTTCAATACTCCACTTTCAATAATGGACAGAACAAGCTGACAGAAGATCAACAAGGAAAGAGAAGACTTGAACGCACCATGAACTGGACTTAACAGACATCCTTTAAAACACTCCATCCAACAATAACAGAGTACACATTCTTTTCAAGTGCACATGGAACATTCTTCAGACAGACCATATGCTAGGCCATAAAAGAAAACTCAATAAAATTTAAAGGGTAGAAATTATACAAAGTATGTCTCCAATCACAATGGAATGAAATTAGAAATCAATAACAGAAAAAAGATTTGGGAAACTGACAAACATGTGGAAAATAAACCACACATTCCTAAACAACCAATAGATCAAACAATAAATCAAAAGGGAAATCAGAAAATACCATGAGATGAATGGAAATGAAGACACAGCATATCAAAACTATGGGACACAGCTAAAGCAGTGCTTAGAGGGAAATTCATAGCTATCAAGGACTCTATGAGGAAAGAAGAAAGATCTCAAATCAATAACCTAATCTTCCATATTAAGACACTGGGAACAGAGCAGCTAAACCCACAGCAGGCAGAAGCAAGGAAATAATAAGTATCAGAGTGAAAACTAAGGAAATAAAAGTAAGTAGAAAAATAGAGAAATTCAATGAAACCAAAGCTGGGAAACCAAAACGGGTTCTTTGAAAAGATAAAAAAAATTGACAAACCTTTAGCTAGATGGATAAGAGAGAAGACTCAAATTACTAGAATCAGAAATGAGAAAGGAGCATTATTACTGACATTACAGAAATAAAAAGGATTATAAAGGAATACAGTGAACAATTGTACCCCACCAAATTAGATAATCTGGATGAAATGGACAAATCCTAGAGAGAGAAAAACCACCACAACTAACTCAAGAAGAAATAAACAATCTGAATAGATCTGTAACAAGTGAAGAGACTGAATTAGTAGTTTAAAAAAATACCCTCAAAGAAAAGCCCAGGCCCAAGTGGCTCCACCAATGAACCCCACCCAACATTTAAAGAAGAATTAATACCAATTATTTACAAGCTCTTGCAAAAAATAGACAAAGAGGTGACACTGCCTAATTTATTCTATGAGGTACTGCCCAGATTCCAAAACCAGACAAAGACATCACAAGAAAAGAAAACTACAGACCAATAACTCTTATGTATAGGGACACAAAATACCAGCCAACTGAATTTAGCAACATATGAAAAGAATTACACACCATGACCAAGTGGAATTTATCCCAGGAATACAAGGTTGGTTCAACATCTGAAAATCAATTAATGTCACACACACATCAATAGAACAAAAATAAACGTCACAGGATCATATTGATACACAGAAAAATTTGAAAAAAAATCCAAACCCTTTCATGATAAAAACACTCAACAAACTAGGAGTAGAAGGGAACTTCCTCCATGTGATAAAAGGCACCCACAACTAACATCATACTTAATGGTGAAAGACTTAAAGCTTTCCCCTTAAGGTCGGAAACAAGACAAAGACGTCTGCTCTTGCCACTTTTATTCAACATTCTACTGGCGATTCTAGCCAGAGCAATTAGAGAAGAAAAAGAAATAAAAGGTATCCAGATTGGACAGGAAGAAGTAAAACTCTATTAACAGATGACATGATCTTACATATAAAAAATCATAAGAAATCCATTAGAACTAAAAAAATGAGTTTAGCAAGATTGCAGGATCTAAGATCAATATACAAAAATCAATTGTATTCTTATAGATTTGCAATGAACAATTCAAAAATGTAATTAAGAAGACAATTCCATTCATAATAGCATCAAAAAGAATAAAATACTTAGAATAAATTTAACAAAAGAAATGTAAAACTTATACTCCAAAAACTATAAAACATCATTAAAAGAAAGGAATGGTCTAAATAAATGGGAAAATATCCCATGTTCATGGATCAGAAGACAACACTGTTAAGATGGCAACACTCCCCAAAATGATTTACAGATTTAACACAAACTTTATCAGAATCCCACCTGATTTCTTTGTGGCAACTGACAAGGTGAATCTAGAATTCATCTAAAATTGCAAGGGAACCGGAATACTCAAAAATAATCTTGAAAAAGAACAAAGTAGGAAGACTCGCACTTTCCGATTTCAAAACTTACTATAAAGCAGTGGAGATTAAGACAGTATGGGACTGGCACAAAGAGAGACATACAGATCAATGGAAAAGAACTGACAGTCCAACAATAAACCCATACGTCTTTGGTCAACTGATTTTCCACAAGGGTGCCAAAATCATTCAACGGGAAAAGTACAGTCTTTTCAACAAACGGTGCTGGGACAACTGGATCGTCACAAGCAAAAGAATGAAGTTGGACTCTTACCTCCCACCATATACAAATATTAACTCAAAATGGATCAAAGACCTAAATGTAAGATCTAAAACTATAAAACTTTCAGAAGAAAACATGAGGAAAAACCTTCATGACTTTGGATTTGGCAAACTACTGTCAGTTATGACACTTAAAGCATGAGCAACAACAGAAAAAAACAGGTAAAATGGACTTCATAAAAATTAAAAACTTTTGGGGGCCAGCCCCATGGTGTAATGGTTGAGTTCAGTGCACTCCGCTTTGGCAACCCGGATTTGCAAGTTCGGATCCTGGGCAGGGACCAACACAGCTCGTCAGCCATGCTGTGGCAGCGACCCACATATAAAGTGGAGGAAGACTGGCACAAATGTTATCTCAGGCTAATCTTCCTCAAGCAAAAAAAAAAAAAAATTTAAACTTTTGTGTTTCAAAGGACAACTTCAAGAAAGTGGAAAGACAACACACAGAATCAGAGAAAATATTTGGAAATCATATATCTGATAAGCAACCTATATCTAGAATATATAAAGAATTCTTACAATTCAATAATAAAAAGATAACCCAATTTTTTAAATGGGCAAAGGATCTGAATAGATATTTCTCCAAAGATGACATACAAATGGACAATAAGCCCATGAAAAAATGCTCAAATCATTAGACATTATGAAAATGCATATGAAAACCACAATGAGATACCACTCCACACCTGCTAGGATGGTTAAAATCCAAAAATAAATAAATGAATGAACCATAATAAGTGTCGGTGAGGATGTGGAGAAACTGGAACCCTCATACCCTGCAGACAGGAATGTAAAATGCTGCAGCCCCTTCAGTCAACAGTTTGGCAGCTCTTCAGACAATTAAACATGCAGTTACCACATGACCCAGCAATTCCACTCCTGGGTACATCCCCAAGAGAAAGGAAAACACAAGTCCACACAAAAACTTGTACACTGATGTTCACAGCTGCACTATTCATCATAGTCAAAAGGGGGAAACAACCCAAATGTCCATCAGCGGACGAATGAATAAACAAAACGTGGTATACTCATACAACGGATTTGGCCATAAAAAGGAATAAAGTAGTTATATGCTACAACTTGCATGACCCTTGAAAACACTATGCTAAGTGAAAGAAGCCAGTCACAAAAGACCACAGATTGTATGATTCCGCTTATATGAAAATCCAGAATAGGGAAATCTATAGAGACACAAAGGAGATTAGTAGTTGGTTAGGGCTCAGGGAGAAGATGGGGGCGATCAGTTAAAGGGGACGGGGTTTCTTTTCGAGGTGATGAAAAGTGCTCTAAAATTGACCGTGATGATGACTGTCTACCCGTGAATACGCCACAGACCCCCGACTGTACACATTAAATAAGCGAATTGTATGGCACATAAAGTTATATCTCAATAAATCTGTCTTCTTTTCTATAGCATTTCTGAAGTCTATTACTGCAACTGGGGCATATGTTGCCAGAGAAATAACACTCTGGCCAGAAGCGTCGGGTTCCTAGGCTCCCCACAAAGGACTCTTTGGCCCAGACACAGCCACACCATGGAGAAGCCAACACTGCTGGGAACAGCTGCCCTGACCCACAGCCTAAATCCCTGTTTTTATGGGAAAACATGTGAGGTCAGAAGTCAAGAAACTGGAGACACTCTGACCTAGCTAGGATCCGTCCCAGGAAGACAGCTGCCAGCAAGGACAAGCATGCAGGGGCCTGAAGGCTGCCCTGGGGGCCCGGCCACTTGCAGGCGGTCTGGGTGGGACACGGGGCCTACAGTGACTCCCTCCCCAACCTGAGCAGCCTCTGCGAGTGGCTCAGCTTCTCAAAGCCTGAACCAGGAGCCTCAAGGGCACCACCCAACGTGTGGGCGGGCCCCAACTGACCTCTCAAAGGCCACGTTTCGAGTGTCCAAGTGGGTGGAGACAATAGGAGAGGTGAGGCGACTGGCCACGTGCTCCTCACTGGGCCGCATGGCGGCCAGCAGCGCTTCTGGCTCATGTAGGGCGAGCCCCAGCGTTTCCGTGTGCACCACCTGCCGGTCATGGTCCACTTCCATCACCAAGGCTCCTGCCTCTGCCAGGCGGTAGGGGGTGTTTTGGGGGGACAGATCAGGGCCAGGCCCCTGGCAGCAGGGAGAGGGCCATCATGGTGCCCTCAGCCACCTGCTGCTGAGTGGATGTGACCTCCACCCCCAACCTCCATTTCCACATCTGGAGGGTGGAAAGGAAGGACAGCATCGTCCTTACAAGCCGTGGGAAGATCCACGGGCTCTGGCCTCCCGCGTGCTCGCCATGAGTCCCCCAGGACTCACCCTGGCCCTTGAAGATGAAGCTCCTCCGGCCGCGCTGCCAGGTCATGTGCTCGAAGCCCAGGAGACTGGTGTCCACCCGCAGGCTCTCGCCCCGCTTCCACACGCGGTACACATCGCTGGGGCACATCTTGGACACGAGGGGCACTGCAGGGGGTGCAGAGGTCACCGGGGTTCTTTCCCAAAAGCCCAACCCCAGGGCCGAGGACGGTGAGTGGTCCAACTCACCCCAGCTGGTGAACTCCCACTTCATCTCCACGTAGAAATCGGGGGCCTGAGATGGACCAGAGCACCTGTCAGGGCCCTGCCCGCTGCTGGGAGCCAGCGGCCTGGGGAGCTCGTTGTCGGCAGCCCCCCTTCTGAGAGCCCAGCCCTTCAGCAAGTCTTGCTGCGCAGCCATGGCCCAGCCACGCCCCCACCCCAACCAAACCCTAACCAGAAAGGGCGGGCCAAGTGGGGCCCTAAAGAAGGTCTCCGAGTAATCAGGCTATAAGCATCTGGAGGCATGGGGGCCAGTCTCAACCTGGCCACTAGCCCACTGGGGGGGCCCCGGGGGAGCTTCTGCCCCTCTGGGCCCCAGAGTCCTCATCTGTAAAGAGGGCGCAATGAGCCCCTCTGGGCCTGCCCCTGGGGTGGGGGGCAGGAGGTAGGCAGTGTGCTCTCCCAGCCGGGCCCCACTGGGTGCTCTGAGAAGTGGGGACAGGTATTCCAGGGGCCCAGGCCCCATACGCTGAGTAGGGTGAAATTCACCCTCCAGGGAGCCATGGTCTAGGCTCTGCTGAGATTTCTGGCACCAAGGGACCCTCGATGCTGGCAAAGGCTTTCCTCCCAGAGGGCCCACTCTCACCCATGTGGGCCTGGACTCCTCTCCTTCCTACATGATCCTGCACTGGGGTCAACAGAGAGGGACCTCGCTGACAGCGTCGGGAGAGCATGCCACACAGGCTGAAGCCCTTCCAAGGCCAGGCCTGGCATGGGTGGCCAGAGTGATCCCCATGCAGTCTGTCATGGACCTCTGCCATGGTACCTGCCCCACCCCACGCCCTCTTACTGGCCACACCTCTGTGTCCTGCTGTACCTGGCGGAGTTTGTTGAGCAATTCTGGAATGCCAGCCAGCCTCTGTGTGGCCCTCTGGTAGTCCCGATACTGGAGCACCAGCTGCACCATCTCCGGGTCCCCAGTGCTGACTGCCTCCTGCAGCACTGGTGGTGGCAGGCTACTGAGGGGAGCTCTCTTGATGGCCCCAGGCCCAGCCATCACCCCCACCCACCAACCCTGCTGTCAGCCCCAGGGGAGCCCCGCTACCCTCTGCAGTACCTGCCCAGCCCTGGCAGCTCTCTTTGCCCACATTGGCATTGTGTCGAAGGAGGACTCTCACGGACTCCAAGTTCCCCAGGGACACAGCCAGTTCCAGAGGGGTACGCCCCCGGGGGTCCTCCTGTTCAATGTCGTGCTGGGGGAGAGGGGACACTTAGCACAGGACAAGTAAGGAGAGGCCAGGGCAAGAATGCCACTGGGCTGAACAGGGTTGGGAGTCACCGCAGGAGATAAGGATGGCAGACAGGAGGTGGAATGGCAGAGGGTGGCCTGTGTGTCCTGGCAGGGGAGAGGAGGCGGCAGGCGGCAAGGGCCTGCCCACCTCTCCTGCCCTCTGCCAGGGGCAGAGCTGTGGGTCCAGGGGTGAGGTCTGGACAGGCAGAGGTGCAGCCGCGGCTGTCAAGAGTTTGGACCGGCCTGGGGACCAGGACCAGGCTGCTTGCTCTCAGCCTGGCTCAGGCGTGGTGCGGCGCGAGTTCGGGGGCTAGAAGCAGCGTGAAGTGGGTAGACTGGCAGGGCAGGGCCCAGCGCTGGGAGCCGAGGCCAGAGGCTCAAGAGCGAGGGGCAGGTGCCCTGGGCTTCAGATTGGGCCGAGGAGGGGGCGCAGGGAAGCGGCTGCGGAGCTGAGCAGGGGCGGGCGGCCTCCAGGATGGGGACCACAGCTTTGGGTGGGGGGCCCGGAGGAAGGCCTGGGTGCCCGGCGGGCCTCACCTGGCGGCTGTGCAGCGCGGCCTCCAGTTCGCGGTGCCGGTTCGCCCAGACGAGCCGGTGCAGCGGGAAGGTGGGGCCCGGGCCGGCCATGCTGGGCCTCAGCGCGACATCCCGGGCGGGCGGGCGGGCGCGGCGGGGGCGGCCCGGCCCCGCCTCGGCTTCGGGCCTGGCGCGGCCCCCTCGCTTCGCGTCCACGCCACCCGCGAGCTGCGCCCACCACGGCCCCCGCGGCCCCGCGCCCCCGCGGCAGTGGCGGCGGCGGCGGCGGCGGCGGCGGCGGTGCAGGCGGCGGGGCTGGCGGGCCGGGCGGGGCTGCGCCGGGGCGGGGCGGGGCGTCGGGCCGCGCGCCCCCTCGCCTCCCGCAGCCATGGCAACCGCAGCCGGACCCGCGCGCGCCGGGGGCGGGCGGGGGGCGCTGCCCAGCCGCCATGGCAACCACGCGCGCCAGCGGCGAGGCCGGGACCCCGGTCTCCGCCCGGGCCTCAGCCGGGCAGGGGTCTGCGGGGGGCGGTCCGGGGGGCGGGGCCTGGCCAAACTCCGCCCGCGGCCTGCAGGGGGCGCTCCAGGCCCAGCGCAGACCCCTCCGTGCGGGTCCGGAAGCGGGAGGAGGGCGCCCGAGGGCGGGGCGGCTCGGCGAGAGGTGGGGCCTGGGCTCTCGGGCCGTGCGCGCGCGTGTGCGCGTGCGTGTGCAGCGGGCTGCGGGTCCTGCTGCCTTGGGTTACTTGCGTCTCCCCAGCAGCCACCCGCCCATGTCCCGGTCTTCCTACCCCAGGTCTCGCAGATACTGATTATGCCTCTGAGTGCGGGGGAGGTGGGAGGTCCTAGTTCCTCGCTCCATCACCTCGCAGATACCCCTAAATGCTGGCCAGCTTAGCATGAAGCGCCTTCTCCAGGGACCGGGGCCGGTGTCTGGTGGTGGCCACACCACGGGCTGGGCCCAGCCACGCAGGGAGGCGGCCCCTCAGGGGTCTGGAGTCAGGGTTGGGAGTATTGGCCAGTGGGGGTTGGGGGGGAGCAGGCCTGGCTCTGGCCCCCCCTGGTGGAGGACTGCCCACCGTGAACGGCTGCGTTCACCCACCGCGTGGAGCCCTTTTGCAGAGGCTGCGCGTTGCTGCCAGTGTCAGGAGGGGAAGGAGAGTTTCGAAATCAGGGCTGGCCCCTCCACCCACACCGGAACCAGGGTGCAGGCCTCAGTCGGCCAAGCAATGGCGGCCTTACCCTGGCCTTAGCCTGGGTCTAGCCCTGGCTCTTGTTGGATGATGAGGCAGCGGCCAGGCTTGGCCAAGGCTGACCCTCTGGTCTCAGTCTTCCTAGCTATGATATGACTAGATAGTGTGATCTAGAAGTCTGAGCTGGGAGGTCCTGGTTGCCATTTCCCTCTGCCCTCTCATTGTGCCTGGGGGGCTCCTGGGCCATCTGGGATAGCTCAGCCACCTTGCCGTGTAGTGTCATCAGGTCATTGTAATGTCCTTGGTCTACAGTAGCTCAAAGGCCTCTGAATGTCCAGAACTCTCAAATCAGGCCCTGCTGGCCGCCACTGCTGCCACCCTCTCTAGCTTCCACCTTTCTTGAAAGGGGCCACCCCTTCTGCAAGCCGTCTTCACTCCAAATCCAGCAGGACTTTCTGGGGCCCAGCCTCTCCTGACCTCTGCGGTCTGGAACACAGCTCCCCCCTGGCCCTGGACCCTTAGTCCCGTTGTCTTCTCAAACCTTTTCCAGGGGCCCTTTCCCCCTCCCCGACCTCCAAGTCGGACTTCTCCCTGGCTGAAAGCCTGTTTGTTCCCACTGTCACTCTGATGCCACTTCCAGGACCACATTTCAGCTCCCTCTGGGACATCTCTGCCCAGTGTCCCATGCTATCCCATCAGCATGTCTGAAACCAGATCCGGCCACATTCACCCTCTTCCCCTCAGGCCAGCTCTGCTCCTGGCTGTCCTTGTGTGCCATCTGGGACTGCCACCTTTCTCTCCTCCCCAGGTCCCACCCATTCCTGCTGGGCTGTGTTCTTCCCATCTGGCCTCTTTGTGTCTCTTCCTCTCCCACCACCGTTATGACATCTCTTCCTTGGACAGAAGCAGTGACCCCTAACCCCTCTCCCTGTTTCCCATCCTTCGCCGCCCTCCACGTGTCCTACACACGGGTCATCAGCGACTTACTTTTCCAGCCAGCTCTCATCACCCCAGCCCCTGTCCAGAGCCTTTAAGGCCTCCCCAGAGCCTATCCCAGCGCAGGCTCCACGTCCATTCCCATCTCTGTTTGTAGACAGTAAGTGCACGTCGGGCTCTGGGCCAGGTTATCCTGGCATTCAGGACCTCCCAGGCCTGGATCTTTCCCGAACCTGAGACACTCCTGACTGCCTGGCCCTTCCCTGCATCAGAAATGTCCCCTTACCTCCTCCACCCCAGTGCTGGAGGCCCAGCACAGAGGCCATTTCCTCCAAGGCTCCATGAGTCCCTCAGTCTTGCCCAGCAGAGCCCCGAGGAGGGTGGGCAGCAATGGACACCACCCACGGGGGCCTGTCAGGCAAGGACACGGGGAAAAGGAAGTTGACCAGAGCCTCTGGGCAGATGAGGCCTGGTGCTGGGGGATCCCCCCAGCCTCAGGGACTCCTCCTGGAGGCTGAATGGCGAGGCCAGAGGGAGACCAAAGCCGGAGAAGGCCAAGGGCCCAGAGGGTGCAGTGTGGCCCTGAGGGCAGGGTGTCCTCAGCACGGTGCCTGGCAAGCTGGGGTGCTCAGTCCGTCAGTCCAAACATGACACCAAGGGCCAATCTGCAAGCACCTTCTCCTGCTCCCCTGGGCAGTGGGCAGAAGACCTCCTGCTCCCCGAGTGGGAGGATGAGCTGTCGGGGTGGGAGAAGGGCAGGGGGAGTGCCCCGCCCCGGAGAGGGCTTGGGCCTGAGGCGGCGGGCCCTGGATGCCTGCCATGGAAGGGGAGGGGAGCTGGTGCCACCAAGACCCTCTCCCCTCAGGCCCCGCCCAGCGGAGGCTGAAAATTAACATGGGGCACAAAAGAGTCTGACACAGCCAAGGAGTCAGGCACCATTTTTTATAAAAACGCATAGTATCATTTTCCACTCTTTAAAATCACATTCAAAATTCGGCAAAGAAACGCCCTGGGGAGTGAGTAGATGGGGGAGGGTGCGCCAACCCAGCCCCGGGGGGAGAGGGTGCGACACCACACATGGCAGCGCGACTGGCACAAGGGGGCATGCGGTGGGTGAGGTGGCGCCCTACAGGCGGTGGCACTGATGGGACGTCGGGCTGTGGGGCTAGACAGCCCGGGGGGCACTCTGACCGGCTTGGGCGGGGAGGGCTGGCCCCACCAGGCCCCCTCTCACTGTGCTGCCTGGCCAGCCGCTGGCCCCCTGTGGTCCTGGGCAGACGAGGGGAAAGGAGGACCTTGGGGCCAGGCTAGGCCAGTGTGGCACAACCCGCAGTGGCCTTTCTGTGGTCCCTGAGCCAGGGCGCTGGGGCGGAAGGAAGAGGGGGCTGCAGTGAGGGCAGCAGTGGCCACTGCCAAGGCCACCCTCCTGGCTGAGCCCACAGTGTCCAGGGAAGGTGGGAATGGAGGCAGTCAGTGACACAGGGGCTCTTCCCGAGCAAGGGTGCAGGAGCGCAGGTCACCATGGGAGGCCCTCCTCCACCCCCTGGCTTGAGGGCAGGACAGTGCAGGCCTGTGTCCCTGTTGCAGGAGGGGCCGCGGTGGGAAACTCCAAGTAGCATCCCTGTGCTGCGGCCTCCCCTGGGGTGGGGGACGCTGGGCCACCCAGCTGTGCTGTGGGCGCAGAGCACAGCCCACAGGGCCTGAGGTGGCACAACTTGGGGTGGCGTCATCCCCGGGGAGGGGCGGGAGGGCTGCTGGGGGCTGCTCTCCTCCCACAGGAAGACACTGGGAGCGGGCGGCCCCTGAGGGGTCAGGGCTGAGGGTGGCCAGACAGTGGCTGGGTTGGTGGCAGCAGGAGCCAAGGCAAGCGGGCCCCTCCCTGGGGGCTGGGCCAGGCTGGGGCCACAGGAAATCACAATAATTACAAAATAAAACCTTTTCCGCTTTGCGGGAAAACAAATAATAAAAATTCGACAAAATAAATTAGAGGTTTATAAAAGGCGGGCAGGTGGGCGGGCAGGTGGGCGGGCGGGTCAGAGGCCGTTGGCGCTGCCGCGCTGGATCAGCGGCACCTTGCTCAGCTCCACCACCGGCGAGCGGGGCTTGTTCTTCATCTTGGGCACCCGCTGCACCAGCTGCTGGGCCTCGCGGTAGGCGTCCCGCAGCTCCTTCTTCCACTGCACCAGCTCCGGGTCGCTCTGCACAAGCCCCAGGGGCTGTCAGGCGGGCCGGGCGCCCCGAAGGCCCCTCTGTTCCCACCCGCCCCCGCTGCCTGCCTGCCCCGGCCCCACTCACGTCGCACTGCAGGACGAACTGTTTCCCGCCCCGGATCTTGAGAAGGAGGCACTTCCGCTCCTTGATCTGCGTCTCTTCCACCGACTGGATCTCCTCCATGGTCAGCAGGCTCTGCTGCGGGGCGGGGAGGGAGCGGTGAGGGCGCAGGCCAGGCCCAGCCACCGCCGACCCCACAGGCTCCCGGCGCCAGCCCCGCTCCTTACCGGGGCCTCGCCCTCGCCCCGCCACTCGAGCCGGTTGGGGAACAGGTAGAAGTACCGCCGCTGCCACTGGGTCAGGAAGGGGTTGCCCATCTTGGACATGTAGCCGTGCATGATGCAGTCCTTGCCCAGGGCGTAGTCTGACCAAAGAGAGCGAGAGAGGCGGCCTCAGCTCGGCCCAGCCCCGCCTGGGTTTGGATCCTGGTCTGGCTGTTCTCTGGCTGTGACCGTGGCTGGGTTCCTGAACCCGGGCCTGTTTCTCATCTCTAGAGCGGGCAGTGGGCGCCCACCGCAGCCGTGGATCCTCACCTTCCTCATGGCCCAGCTGCTTGTTTTTGGTTTTCTTGCGGGTCTCCAGCCGGTCCGTCTCGGCGTTGATGGTGTCAAAGACAGTCTCTGCCACCTCCTGCTGCCACCGCTCCGAGATGGTGAGGGGGAAGTTGCGGTAGAGCTCCTGGTCGCTGTCCAGTAACTTCACCGTGCGGATGGGGCAGGGACAGCCATCAGCCACGGGCCTGCCCAGCCCTGACCCTGGGGCAGAGTGGTCTGGTCCAAC